TTAGAGTTAATCTTGATGTATTTAAAAAATCAGTAAAAATTCCGATTAAGTTCAACTTAATATCTCAAAAACTTGAAGAGTTATCTCAAAACGGACAACTTCATTGAAAAGTAGATGCTTTCATTGATAATTGGTGAAAATTTCATAAAGATTTTCCAACAAATTGATTTTCCACGAATTTTTAGAGTTAATCTTGATGTATTTAAAAAATCAGTAAAAATTCCGATTAAGTTCAACTTAATATCTCAAAAACTTGAAGAGTTATCTCAAACCGGACAACTTCATTGGAAAGTAGATGCTTTCATTGACAAATGGTGAAAATTTCATAAAGATTTTCCAATCAATCAGTTTCCCAGAATTGTTTAAATTCAATCTAAGAAACATTAAATATTTCCAGAAAATTCGATTTAATTCAAAACTTTGTATCTCAAAAACTAAAAGTGATTTTTAAAAACTGATTTCACCATTGAAAAGTAGATGCTTTTATTAATAATTGGTAGTAATTTCATAAATATTTTCCTAGAAATCGATTTTTCATAAATTTTTAAAATTTAAAATAGAACCGAAATGTTGGTTGGGATTAAAACGTGATATCTCAAGAACAAAAAGAGATTTTTCAAAGTGGACTCTTCCATTGAAGAAAGCTTGCTTTTATTAATAGTTGGTGAAAATTTCATAAAGATTTTCCAATCCAAATTGCTTAAATTCAATCTAAGAAACATCAAATATTTCCAGAAATTTCGATTTAATTCAAAACTTTGTGTCTCAAAAACTGAAAGTGATTTTGCAAAGCTGATTTCAGCATTGAAAAGTTGGTGCTTTTATTTATAACTGGTGTTAGTTTCATAAACATTTTCCAAGAAATCGATTTTTCACAAATTTTTCAAGTTAACACTAAGTTGAAAGTGAGTAATGAAGTAATGATTTTCAGAAATCATTATTGCATTGCATCTTGATTAGTGACACAATCACAAAAAATTAAAACGTCAAAAAAAGTAATCAGTCAAAATTTCGCGTATCATATCATCCAAATTTCCTGCTACACAGATACACGGCAATATGGGAGATATACCAATAGAATTAACAGTATGGGAGGGTGACTTTGGTCTACCGTCAATGTGTTCCGATTGTATTTATATGATGCTGTACACCAAAATCGCCAATGTTCCCGTAACCTATAAGTATCATAAAAATCCGTATTGGGACGTCGGGGAATCATTTCCAATCTTCCAACATGGCCGGATATTCACGACGAACCTTCAACTAATGCTTGGATATCTAAGAATAAAACGATACGGCACCGAGTTTGGTCTTAGTAGTAAACAATGTAGTCAATCGTACGCTTTTATGAATTTGCTGGAGAACACTTTAAAACCAGTTGTAGAGTACGTGTGGTGGGTGAACCGGAAGAACTTTGACGAGTTTACAAGACCTTGGTACACGAAAGCGATGCCAATACCTTTTAATTTCGTTTATCCAAGACATCGAAGACGCAAAGCTGAAAATATAGTTGCGGCAATTTGTACAGAAACGGATTCGTTTGAGTTTATTCATTCTTATATGTTCAATACGGCGGAGAAATGTTTTCAAGCTCTCAAGGTTAGATTAGGAAAAGCGCCGTATTTTTATGGAGGTTCACCCACTTCACTGGATGCCATGGTTTACGCGTATTTAGCCCCATTAATTAAATTGCCATTTCCTTCCAATGATATTCCACGTCTTCTTCGAACCTACACGGAATTGGTGGATTTTGTGAAACGCATCGATACCGAGTATTACCCAGACATGAAAGCTGATTCGAAATTTACATTGGAAGATCAAAAAGCAACCGAAGATCAACCACTTTCATTTGGAGCCAAATTGTTCACGTGTATCTTTGTTGCCAGTGCTATGCTTATATACGCGGTTACCCATAAGTTAATTATATTACCTAATTATCTTTCAATCGGAGTGTAAAATTCTTAAAATTTTCACATAGCATTGTATCGATTTCGTTGGTTGATATTATGGGGTTTTGCTGTTCCTTTTTTTGAATTAATTAATCGTACATCGTAAGCAATCATGTATTCGTAACCAAGTTTTCTTAAATAAATTGAGGTTGATAATGTCGTAATGGCAACTATTTTTAATTGGACTCCTTTTTTGCTAAATCTTTTTCTCTAGAGACGGAAAATAATTACTGAACTACGATTTATTGTCCTCCGTAGACTTTTCCATCCTCCTCCAGCATATTTATATCCTCTTTTACCGTTTCACTGCAGTTTCGGTTCGTTTTCTTTTACGTCTCCTCCTGAACGATTTATCTGCACCATCTATAAAGTTTAATTACTTAATAAAACTTCGGACAAGCGATGACTAATGATGGCTACACGAAAGGTATTTCATTTCTTTCAATAAAATACTTGAAAATCTACGTCATCATGGCAAATTTTCTATTTTTAATTACTTTAATTATGGTAGATTTTGGACAATTTCAGAATTTTTTTTCAAAACTAACATATTGATCTTTATACATCAGTTTAAAGCACAGCTTCCAAGCTTTAATTTAAGATATAAATCATTTTGATATCTTTATTAATTACGTTGAAACGAATCTTTTAATTTTATCAATTTTTATTAATTCCCAAAATATTAGGGTGTTCTATTTTGGACTATTTGAGATACATTTTTGTAACTAACATATTGATTATACATCATTTTAAAATAGAGATTTCAAGCTATAATTTAAGATATAAATCAGTTCCGGTTAAAACCTAAGTGAGTGTTTTTTTGAAAAAAAACTTTTTTGGTGCCTTGGATATCTTTGCAAATTTTTATGTTTTTATGTGCCCAGATTACGAATATATTCATGAAAGTACTGAATGTGTTCTTGTTTTTTATGATTTTTACATATCTTATATTTTGAAGAATTATCGGCTTGTTAGTAATAAAATTTATTTTCCCAGTCATGATTAGGCTTCTGCGCAACTTTTTCGCGCGTACAAACATCACGTGATCTCCACTCTCGGACTCCTTGCTCCGCAGAACAGCTGAGATCTCAGTTATTTGACAATATTGAAGTACTTACACGTGAATCTGGATAAGTTGTCATGTGTTAATATTTTGTTTCAATTACTGAATGTCCATTCTAATATATTTGTCTTGTCTTTTAAAACATGAGTTCGTCACGAAGAAAGTGTAAATATAGTAGTGATTTATTTTGTTATATTTGCGGTGTTTATATAACAAAAAGGAAATATTAGAGACTTTGTCGAGGAGACTTATGCTGAATATTTTGGTTTTAAATGGATAAACTAGATAAATCATGGGTTCCTCATACAGATTGTAAATCTTGTGTTGAGTCTTTACGGTTGTGGAAAAAAGGAGAACGTTCTGGATTAGACTTTGGTATTCCTATGGTCTGGATGGAGCCTAAGAATCATTTCTATGATTGTTACTTTTGCGTAGTAGATTCAAACGTGGAGATATCCAGACTTACAGTCTACAAAATGTCCTGTTCTACACAGTGAAAATGTCATTCGGTCTATTTACGTTTCAAAAGTAATTCGCATACCTTCAGAAACAACGATGTTGCCAAATCCACAGAAATCGGGACAGTCTACTAGTGGGAGGGTGAAACATCTACGCCGAAGTTATTTTCCCAAAATGAACTCAGTGATTTAATACGTAATCTCAATTTATCAAAACAAGGATCAGAACTGTTGGCCTCAAGATTGAAAAAAAAAGTTATTGTCTCCAACAGTAACAATTACAACATATAGAACGCGAGAAAGTGACTTATTACAATTTTTTAGTGAAAATAAAGGACTGGTGTACTGTAATGATATCGCGAAGCTGCTTCTAGACATCGATTTAAAAGAATACAAACCTACTGAGTGGTGACTTTTTATTGACAGTTGTAAAAGAAGTTTTAAATGCATCTTACTGCACAATGGAAATAAATTTGCATCAATTCCAATTGCCCATTCAACAAAACTCAAAGAAGAATATAAAAATGTAAAGTTAGTTTTAGAAAAAATTAATTACTCGGAGCATCAATGGCCGATCTGTGTGGATTTGAAAATGGTTAATTTTTTACTTGGTCGACAAAGTGGATACACGAAATACCCTTGCTTCATTTGTATGTGGGACAGTAGAGCAAAGCAACTTCATTGGGAACAAGATGTTTGGCCTGTAAGAAATTCTTTAACTGTCCTCAAATACGGCAATTGAGGGTCGATGGGATAGTCATATGATGGCAGATTACTGCTGGTCTTTAAAAAGAGATTGTCCCAAAAGAATCAATAATTAAAATACCACCGATTCACCTTCTAAGTATAAAAAGTTATAAAGAAATAGTAGGAGACTACAGAAAACTTGCCAAATTTTCTAATGCATATAAACAGTTATAAACGCAGTTGAATGTTACACATATAAAGAGAAAAACGAAAAAAAAATTTCAGTGGTGATAAAAAATGTCCTCAATCACTGTACAGGAAGTAGATGATGAACTTACTCAACAAAAGCTACCCATAAAAAAGTAGTAAGATTGTTAAACAAAAATAAACTTTCCATACTCATTTGTGCTATACACCTCACCGCAAATGACAATAGTCGTAGGATAGTAGAGATCAAAGAAATATAACATGCAATTGTAGAGGTAGAATACAGATGAAAACAGCCAGGTTTACCCACAATATTATAGTTGCCATAGATACGGACACATCAAAAATTATTGTACACTATCTCCAAGATGTGTAAAATGTCAAGAAAATCATCTGACTAAAGATTGCACTAAATCAAGAAAAGCACCCCCTCAATGTGTAAACTGCCAAGGAGATCACCCAGCTAATTACAAGGGTTGCACATACTATAAAAACTTCAATGTCAAAAATATACCCAATGTAACACATACCCCCAATCAAGCGTTAACAAGTACTTCAAGAATCCTACGATATAAATATCCTTCCCAAACGCGCAGTTACGCGCAAGCAACAAACCTAAATCATTCCTCCAACGATACCAATACTCAATCAGTTATAACAAACATACTAGAACCCTAATGAATATAATATCTGCATGTTTAGTATAAATTAAAAATTTTATTACAACACACATAATTCCTAAAATATTCAGTGTCTACTTAACCAACTATACGTAATCTAACACTTCTTAATTGGAATGCAAACGGCATCAACAAACAGCAAGCCATTCTTATAGTCTTGTTAGCATGGCATAACATAGACATAGCATACGTAACAGAAACGCATTTAAGTCAAGCAGAAAAATTCAACATACCAGGTTTCAAAATCTATCGCAATGACAGATAACACAGAATCGCTTCAGGGGGACTAGCTATATTTGTTAAAAAACACTTAAAACACTGGGAAACGACACCTTATAATTGTAAAAATCTTGAAATGATATCAATAAAAATTGAAACAAAATAAAATAACAATTAAAATAACAGCATATAGACAACCAAATAAAGTAATTCTGGACAGTGATATTGAAAAGCTGTTTAATATCAACAAAAGTATAATAATAATCGGCGACTTAAATAGCAAGCATCAAGCATGGGGATGCAGAGTTTCAAACCCTGATGGAGAAAAACTATTGAACTTGTTTAACATAATACATAATTATAATTATAACACGTATTATCCGTATAGGTCAGATCATCAACCGGATATATTAGATGTTCAACTGAATAAATATTTTTATAAAATGACTCAACAATGCGTTCTACCGGAATTAGACTCAGACCATCTCCCGGTAATAATTAATTATGATACAACACCCACAATAATTCCAAGACAAAATTCACTTATTACTGGTAAAATAAACTGAAAACTATTTCAAGACAGATGTACAATAAGTTTAAATAATAATGCTCTCCTGGCCACAGAAGAACAAATTAATGCACAAGTATCCGAAATTACAATAGCTATCACTAAGAGTGTAGTATAAGTAACCAGTAAACTACCTATACAAAAACGAGGAAATTCCACAACCCCAAATGAAATTCTGACATTAATTAAACAAAAGCACAACGCTTGTCGAGATTGGTAACGCCACAGAAATCCAGAAGCCAGAACATTATTTAATCAATTGTCACATCGAGTGAAAAGAGAATTCGAAAGATATCGCCTTGAATCATACCAACAATACAAACCGAATGAGATTTTGATAATTAAGGAAAATAACAAATCGTATTTTACTGATGAAGAAAAAACGACGATCTTTGCAGAACATCTTACCTGTGTATTTATTCCCTTATTTATCCAGCACATCACATCCAGCATGTTCGACAATATATATGTAGAGCAAAATGTAATAACAAGTAAAATTCCTTTCGGAGCATGCGCTCTTAATTATATCATAAGTACACGCGCGCGTGTCTGAGTCCGCACATTCAAAAAAATGTTCTGTGATGTAATTTTAAATGGAAACTTATTGTAAATGATAAAATGTTATCATTATAAGAATCTTATATATTCAGTATCACATTCGTTACATATAAAAGTGTAATGTTCTAAACACATATATTTATTACATTTTTTGCACGAACATTTAGTAGGGCGGTTCTTTCTGCGGTCGCAATAGTTTTAGCGTCCTAGTTTTGTAGTGTTTTCATCTTCAGATGTTGTGTCTTGTTGTGGGAAGATGGGCATCGACCAACTGCAGAGATAAATTCCATAGGAATTGTCTTCTTCTTTCCGTACTAGCTGTATTAGTAGAGTGAATAAAAAATCACCATCTTCTAGGTGTCTACGCCACCTTTTGTGTTGTTGTAGTCTACAATGATTTCTGGGTTTCCAGTATTTTTATCTATGTTATCAGCATGGTGTAGACTTGAGATGAGCAACACATTCTTGTTTTTCTTTGGCTTGTACGAAACTACATACTGGAGTTTTCCGGGTGAGATTTATGTGGACGTGAAAACTCTTCTCTCTTCTTCACAAAGTCTTTTTACAACAGCACTTGGGGAGTTACTCACGGCCGGCGTAGAGACCATATGGCTGTTTTCTAACATAACCTTCCAAATTTGATGTAAAATAGCGTTTGGTATCTACCAATGTAAAAATTTTGTTTATTCGGGATATATTGCCTAAAAGAGCAACGTCCTTGAAA